CCCCCGCCGCCAGTGTTCCCTCTCAGCTGAGCGAGTGTGAGCCGGCTCACCGTTCTTTTAGCCTCCGGCTCACGACGTTTTCGGCTCAGGGAGGAGGAGGGGGGGGGGCGCCAGAGCAGACGGATCCATGCCGCAGCCGCATCGCTCGCTCACCACTTGAAGGCCAGGAGCTCACGAGGAAGGATTTTTGCTCACAGGACTCCACGGCTTAGAGGGAGCATTGGTCTGGGGGCAGGGTTTCCTCTAAGCTGATTGAGTGTGAGCCGGCTCACAGGGTTTTTAGCCTCCGGCTCACAACATTTTTGTCTTAGCCGAAGAAGGATGAGGCTCCAGAGCGAACTAGATGATGCAGCAGCCGCATCGCTCGCTCACAAAGTAGAATTTTTGCTCACAAGACTCCACACCTTAGAGGGAGCATTGGTCTGGACTGGTGTTCCCTCTAAGCTGAGTGAGTGTGAGCCAGCTCACAGGTTTTTTAGCCTCCGGCTCACACATTTTCATCTTAGCCAAAGAAGGATGAGGCTCCAAAACGAACTAGATGATGCAGCAGCCAGATCGCTCGCTCACAACTTGAAGGCCAGGAGCTCACAAAGTAGAATTTTCGCTCACAAAACTCCACAGCTTAGAGGGAGCACTGCTCCCCACAGGGGGCCCCCCCACCATCACCAACGGCCCGGCCCGCGATCCTCTTCCTGCTGCCACCGGCCTGCCTCATTCCCCAGAATCCAGCCGCACCTTGGGGGGAGGGGTGTTGGGGGCAGTGTTTCCTCTAAGCTGAGTTGGTGTGAGCCAACTCACGGGTTTTTTAGCCTTCGGCTCACAGATTTTTGTCTTAGCTCAGGAAGGATGGTTCCACAGAGAACTAATATATTGCAGCAGCCAAATCGCTGGCTCACAACTTGAATTCCAGGAGCTCACAAAGAAGACTTTTTGCTCACAGGACTCCACAGCTCTTAGAGGGAGCTTTGGTCCCTGCTCCCAGGACTCTCCCCTGGAGGCCCCGCCACCCCTCAGGGCGATACACCCCTGCAGCAGCAGCCCCCCACCAACGGCCCGCAATCCTCCTCATGCCGCTGCCGGCCTGCATCATTCCCCAGGCTCCAAAATGGCCCTCCGCTATAAAGGACAGGGGTGGTGGTGAAGAGTCCTTTCCCTTATTGGTTAGATGCGAGTCCAGCTGCACCTTTGGGGGGGGGGTTGTTGGGGGCAGTGTTCCCTCTAAGCTGAGTGAGTGTGAGCTAGCTCACGGTTTCATAGCCTCCGGCTCACACATTTTTGTTTTAGCTCAGGAAGGATGCTCCACAGCGAACTAATCTATGGAGCAGCCACATCGCCCACTCACGACTTTAATGCCAGGAGCTCACAGGACTCCACATCTTAGAGGGAGCATTGGTTGGAGGGTGTCAGGGCTTCCCCTGGAGAGGCTGCCTCCCCACAGCCCTTGCCCCCAAGGTCTTGTTGGTCTCAGAGGTGCTGCTGCTGGAGTCAAAGCGGAAGTGTTCCACTGAAACCATCCCCTCATCTCAGGCACTCCATTGGCTCACCCCACCCCAGGTCTGCATGGTCCATAGATGGGGGGGGGGGGGGGGAAAGGTGCTGCTGCCTTGGGAATCGAGTCCATTTCTTTCCTGTGATGTGTTTCCACTAATGATTGGGCAGCTGACGTTGCTGTTCCTTCTGGGATTCGTTTTGGCAACAAGAGTATTAATCTCGAACCGGGTATCTCTCCTTGCTGCTCAGGAAAGCTGGTGCCTATCAGGTTGCACCTGCTCCACTTAGCAAAACATATCCCGCCCCATGAGAGTTGAGTTGCTGCTAAGCAAATTAAATGTTGGTTGCTAATGAACTTGTGCTCACTTTGGCAGCTGCAGCAGCCATCTTCTGTGAAATATTTTTAGAATAGTCCATCGGCTAATTGTCACAGGAACTCAGCACTGGACAGTAAACTCTGATCTTAGAAAACTTAGAACTCTTAACCAAGATCACACAGGGACACTTCTTGCAGCATGTGACAGTTAAGCTTTTTATATTGCTGCTTGAACTTCAGTGGTTGATATTTATTTCATTTATACCCTGCCTTTTGTCCCCAGTGGAGACACTAACTGACTTACATCATTTTCCTGCTTTCCACTTTATCCTCATATCGACTCTGAGATGTAGGTTAGGCTGAGGGTGTGAGAACGGTTACCCAGCCAGCTTCCATGGCAGCTGGGAGATTTGAGGTTTGTTCTCCCAGATCCTAGTTTGACACTCTAACCAGTACACTGGTATGAAAAAAGCATTTGTTGTTCTTTAAGAAAAGGGATGGAACTGCAAGCGCAGGTGGCTGTAAAAGGATATTATATTATATATCCTTTTTGTATATTATATATAAATTAGTGGAGGATAGGTTTGTTAGTGGCTACCAGCCATTGTGACTAAAGGGAACCTCCATAGTCAGGCAGTAAACCTCTGAATACCAGTGCTGCGCCCCGGAATCTGGAGAAGGCCTCAGCCTCTGTGCCAAATTGTTGCCCCTCCAGAACAACTGGTTGGCCACTGTGTGAGACAGGATGCTGGACTGGATGGTCCCTCACTGGTCTGATCTAGCAAGGCTTTTCTTATGTACCTGTGCTGTTAACTAGAATTTTACCATTGTTAGATTTCTTAATTAAAGTTGCACTTGGCAAACAGAGTTTTAAATGGAAATGCATTACTGTTGGGAGTGCAGGGAATTTCAAGAATCGCCTTGCTTTAAAAGTTATCAGTGATTGCTGATGGGGCATCAGATTAACCTGAGAAAGGTAAGCGGGGGGGGGGAGTGTTGAAGGACCTTTCTCTCTCCCCCTTCCCTGGAATCTCACATAAATTTAGTGGAGCCCCAGTCACAGTGCTTTTTATGCTTCATAATAATGGATTTTGTGTGCGCTTCCTTGAATTCTGCTATCTAAATGCAATTTTGTTCTCTGGAATAGGAGGCTGTCAGCCTTCTGAACGTGAAGGTGTTCCAGTGTCACTAATGCTGCTTTAGGGCACGGTTGTTAGTGGTGGTGGTCAATGTTCCCTCTAAGCTGGGGAGTCTTAGGAGCAAGAATTCTACTTTGTGATCTACTGGCGTTAAAGTTGTGAACGAGCCATTTGGCTACTGCATAAATTAGTTTGCTCTGGAGCCCTCCTTCCTGAGCTAAGACCAAAATGTGTGAGTTGGAGGCTTAAAAACTGTGAGCTAGCTCACACTAACTCAGCTTAGAGGGAACACTGGTGGTGGTAGACAGTGCCGTCACGTCACAGCTGACTCATGGTGACCCCTGTAGGGTTTTCAAGGCAAGAGACGTTCAGAGGCAGTTTGCCATGGCCTGACTCTGCATAGCGATCCTGAGCTTCCTTGGTGGTCTCCCATCCAAGTTCAAACCAGGGCCGACCCGCCTCAGCTTCCGAGACCTGACGAGACTGGGCTGCTCTGGGCCATCCAGGTCATGACAAAGTTAGTGGTTGGGTTCAAACATATGCACGTGTCTCAAACCAGGAAGTAGGTGCCAGGTATTTGCAGGGAGGAGTGGCCTGCTGGCATTATTGAGTGCAGTCTCTTCTCTTCCTGAATTGCGTGTCTCTGGGAGTGCTCTGATTTCAATCAGTAATGCAAGTCGTGGGATCTCCAACCTCTCAATCTCAAGATGAGAACTCTCATTTTCTTTCGTGTTGGTCTTGGCTAATGACAATTAGAAAAGGAATAAACTCTTTCAGTCACTTAACTTTGTTGCCTGAAGAACTCCTGAATGTTCCTCCACATTCATGCTCAACATCAGTGGCTTCTTTCTCCTGTCCTCTGAGTCTTCTTCGTCCTCCTGACTTTTTTGTTCTCGGGCGACATGGGAGACGTTGGCCTTGTTACTGGAAGTACACAGGTGTCATTTCTTGGGCTACAGTCTTTTATTTTTAATGGATTTACTGTACCCTGGGAGGACTGTCGCCTGAGTAGCTACAAGCTAAGTTTCTTGTATTCTCTTACCTGCTCACAGACAGGACTACAGTGAGGTGTCTTCTGAAGCACTGCTGTGTGTGTGTGTGCACGCGCCCCAGCATGTTAACCTTCATTTTGGTTAACCAGGCATTTTCTTCCTGACAACTTGCTATGTCTAGTCTCCTTGGAGCAGCTGTTCTGTTGTTTGCCAAAGATACCTAAATGCACAGGGGCATCTTCATTCTGAGCAGGTAGAAGAGGTGGCCACACTGACCTTGATGCCATGGGCTGAAGCTTTCTTCTTGGTAATTCTTTGTCTCTCTTTTTGGTTGCCT